TTGGTAGCCCAGGCTGGCCTTGAACTCACAGAGATCCGCCTGGCTCTGCCTCCCGAGTGCTGGGATTAAAGGCGTGCGCCACCACCGCCCGGCCTTGACTTTTTATTTTGTGAAATCTCACCAAATTGTTCAGTCTGACCTTAACTCTGTATCCTAGGCTGGCCGTGCATTATTAGCATTTCTCCTGCCTCAGCTTCCCTGGTAGCTTGCATGACAGGCCTCCACTGATTTAGATTAATAGAGAAGCTGAAGGATTTCCCAGGCCTCTGGGGGTGGGCCCACGGAAATGGAGAAGTCTGTGTGAGCATATGGGACACCCCGCACCATCGGTGGCTGGCTCCACCTCTTCCGAGTGTGTGCTTTGGTGTGGGTAGAAAGGGCCAGCTCTGAAGGGTGACATTGGGACTGCTAGGGATTGAAGGAGACCCACAAGGTCACTGGACAGTGTTAGCATGTGGGGAATGGGGACAAATGTTAGCACTCACTGTCTTGAGTGTGCGTGTGCGTGTGCGTGTGTGTGTGTGTGTGTGTGTGTGTGCACGTGCACATGAGCTCACGACACTTGAGCAGGACCGGTGGAGAGGTGCAGAGACCAGGAGTCTATTACAGGCCTCCAGGGTGACGGAAAGGCAGACTGTTAGGGCCCGAGCTGTATGGAAAGGGGCTCTGGGCTGAGTGGGCCTCACCGGGGAACTACCGAGGGTTTGCTGCTAAGAGAAGCCCGCGGGGCTGCGGCTGGCATGAGGATCAAGAGCAGAGGCTGAGCCAGGGAGGGGTGAGGGCTAGGGTAGGGGCAAAACCCGGGCTTGAGCTGGGACTGGGGAGAACGCTGAAGGGACAGACCCAAGGGTGGGGCAGACGATGGAGGTAAGGCTGCAGCCAGGAACCCCTCTGCACATGTCCCACCAACTTGGCATTATTTCTGCCATACACCCACCCAGGAGCCCAGGGAGTCAGCTCAGGCCCCAGCTAGAAGCCTGCAGTGTGTGGGCAGAGCCAGGCAGGCTCCAAGCTGTCTGTGGGAGCCACTCCCGGAACCCGGGCCTCTTGCCACCTGGCTCCTGACACCCTACTCCCCAAAACACCCCGAGGCCCTCACAGTTCTGAGTTAGGAACAGCTAGTGGGGGACAAGGCATTGTTTAAATCCTGTTTTCTGGACCAAGTGATCTTGGACATCAGCTTTCACCTCTCAGAGCCTCAGTTTCCCCCATGGTACAGATAGGGATAATAAGCTGAAGGCGATGGTGCACACCTGTGATCCTAGCACTTGGAGAGCTGAGGCAGGAGGATGGCAAATTCAAGGCCAGCCTGGACATAGAAAAACACCACCCCACCTCTTCTCTCCAAGAAAAGATTCGTTACGGTAAAACCTGAAGTCGCGGTCCAGGGACGACAATGGCTGTTCCTTCGTGGAGCCCGAGTGCTCGCCCAGCCCCCACTTGACTTTGGGGCTCCTTATCTCCCAGCCCAGTGAGCTTCAGGCTCACTACCAACCTTCCTGTGTGTACCTTGGGCTGTGCTCCTGGTGAGCAGCAGGCGGGATAGGGAACCAGAGGCACATGGCCTTACATCCTGGACACTCTGCTAAGCCTGGGCCTCCTCTCTGGACTCTTCTAGATCGACGCTGCGACATGCAAGAGGTCACTCTGAGCCTGCTGGTCCTCCTAGCAGGTGAGAATCTGGCCACCAAAATGCCCTTTGCCCGGGGCCTCTCAGCTAGGTGATGACAAGCTGTGTGTATGTGTGTGTGTGTGTGTGTGTGTGTGTGTGTGTGTGTGTGTGTGTGTGTGTGTTTCCTTTGGGGAATGCCATTTACTTTTCCGTGACAGCAAGCCGAAGGCTCGGCCCAGTACTCTTGGGTGTTATGGCCTCCCTACATTGCCTTCCCAGATGCCTCTAAGAACCTATCAGTGATGTAGTGGGTAACGGGAATACCTCATGCCTCAGTTTCTCCATCCCTGAAAACACAGAGAACAGCAGCACTTGGTCACGGGTTTTGTGAGGCTTAAATGCGTTAATGTTTGAACAGCAGTGGGATGGGGCCTGGGTGGGGTGGGCCCCAAGCATTTGTGCCTCAGATATCATTAAGCCTTGTTTTTCCCTCCCTGTAGCAGAACTCGGGCCCGGGACGAAACCAACCAAGCTTCCGGCCAGAATTTAATCCTTACTCCTCACTTTTGCCCTGTCTTCTCCTTCCTTCCTCCCTCTGCCTCCTTTGTGTGTGCATGACTGTGCGTGCTCATGTGTGTGTAGCTGTTCGTGCGTGTGCATGCTTGTGCGTGTGGCAGCCAGAGGACAACCTTAGGCCTCGTTTCTTAGGAGCTATCCACTTTTTTTTTTTTTAATTATTTCATGTGTATGGGTGTTTTGAGTGCTTGGTGACTGTGGAGGCCAGAAGAGGGTGTCAGGTCCCCTGGGACTGCAGTTACAGATGTTTGGGAGCCATCGTGTGGGTGCTGGGAACTGAACTTAGGTCTTTTGCAAGAGCAATCAGTGTTCTAACCACTGAGCCATCTCTCTCCAGCCCCCCCCCCCCCCTTCTTTTTAAACTGCTTTTTACTTTATCATTCTTTGGGCACAAGTAGAATTCTATTTGGAAAAAGGATGTAAGAATGAATTGTTGCCAACCGTGAGTCATTTCAAAGTGTCAGAAGGTCAGCAACCCTGATAACTGTGGGGTGCAGCCGTGGGGGGCTGTGGGCACTGCTGCTGTGGAGCAAACAGGCCTGGGAACAGAAACCATCTGCTACCTTGAGAAGCAAAGCCTCTTCAGCAGGAGGTGTGGCCTGGCCATGTGTCTGGAAACACTCACTCACACAGTGGCCAAAAGGTACCCGGAATAGGATCTGTTTCCGGTGGCAAAATGCTGGCATGACTCACAGGTGGGGGTGGGTGGGTGAGCCCATATCTCCATGATGGCGCATGTCCAGGTGAGACTAACCAGCAGCCAAATCCTGTGCACTTTGGCGGTGGGGCTGTCCCCCCACGGAACATTTTTCTCAGGCCACAAACTGACCCTGCCGAGGGCCACCATAGTCACCCTTGTCCTTCCTTGTCCCCGCAGGCCTGCCTGCTCTGGATGCCAATGACCCCGAAGGTGAGTCAGAGCCCACCCCTCCATCCCACTTACCTCAGACCCCTGCTACTGTCTCAGACTCATGGTGTGTCCTTTCTCTCTCTGCAGACAAAGACAGCCCCTTCTACTACGGTAAGAACGCTGTCCCTCTTCACTTCTTCCCAGTCCTATACATTATTTTGTGCCAACGGTCCCACACAAGGGAGGCTGACAGTTCACAGTGACCCAGGGGACAGCATAGGGGAGGGTTTGAAATGGGTCCCTGAGCATCCAGGTATCTGGAATCAGCCGTGAGGGAGAATTCAAGACAGACACGGGGCTGAGTCCAGTCTGCAAGAGGCGTTAGGTTCAGTTCAACCACCAGAAAGTTGGTCACAAAAATCTCCCCAGAGAGGGTGGGGAATTCGGCCCCACTCTTCCTGGCAGCCACCCATCTCACGACCCGTGCACCTTTTGCTTGGACCACTGTCTTCCATGTGTCTTCAGGGCTACCTCTGTCTTCCTGCGAACTCCATCCCAGCGGGACCTCCTCAGGCAGCCCTTGCTTGACCACTCTCTAAAGACCCATACCCCGACTTTCTAGCCCCGACACTGATCCTTTCCCTTCAGACGGCTCCTCTGCCTCTGAACGGACATGAAATATCTTGTTTGCTTGGATCTTAACTGCAATGTATACACAACAGGGCGGGGCTTCTCCCTTTCACTGCTATCAAATGAATCGGGAGACAGATGCAGGGACCCGGGCCAGCTCTGAGGTCTCCCGTTTCTCTCTCAGATTGGTACAGGCTTCGAGTCGGTGGGCTCATCTGTGCAGGGATCCTCTGTGCCGTGGGCATCATAGTTCTTATGAGTGAGTACGGCGCTCTGGATGGGGGAGAGAACAGGGAAGATTTGGTGTGTTCCTCTGACCGTATCCCTCCCCAACAGGTGGAAAGTGCAAGTGCAAGTTCAGCCAGAAGCCCAGGTGAGATGGGTTCTGGGCATGCCCAAAAGGCTAGCCTTGTGCAAAGAGGACAGGCCTGGCTGCTCTGCCCTGAGCTCTCCCGGGCTTGGCTTCATGCAAATCATCCTCAGAAGGCTTTGGTCCCTAGCTCTGTATAAACCTACAGTGGAAAACCAGCCAAGAAACTGTCTAGGCAAGCTGAGAATACTTAGCCCTAAGGGAGAGAACAAAGGGGATTTATTTGTATGTTATCACTTTTCTATTTTCCCAGTCACCGTCCAGGGGATGGGCCACCTCTCATCACACCAGGTAAGACACTCAGGGTGACTGGGGGTGGGGTCTGGGGGTAAGGGTCACAAGTGGCGGCTGGGGTAAGGGGAGAAGGGACTGGATAGACCTTTGCAAACTGGCCCCATCCCTCCACCAGGCTCTGCTCACAACTGCTGAGGATGGACCAGTTGAGCACAGCACGCCTCTGGGCCAGGTCCTGGCTCTGGAGGTGGGCCTGAACTCCAAGACAGCCGTCTGTCCTCTCCTGACACTGCCTTGCCTGGGTCTCATCTTACCTCTCTCATGATAGCTGGCTCTTTGTTCAGTTTCTAATCTAAAATGGTTTTACATCGTGCTCAGGTGAACTCAGACTGTGTGCATTCTGGAGTGTGGCTGTGGGCAGTGGGGGGGGGGGGCGGGCAGATGTTGGGGTGGGCCTGGGGGCCTTGATGAGGTGGGCACTTGTGTGTCATGACCTGATGACAGGCATGAGACGTCCCGCTCCCTCCATGGGCAGCCTCCTGTGCCACTTAGATGTTCTAGTGGTAAACTAGGGACGCTTCTAGGGGTGAAAAAGAGCCCTAATCGAGTACAGTGTTGACATTGAGAATAATTAATAGGCCATCCTACCGTGTTGGGGCCGCTCAGATAGTTTAGCCCCACCCCGACCCCCACAGTGGCTTTCTCATCCATTCTGAGACCTCACTTTATCCTGAGACCTTTCCATATACCAACTGTCCCTGTGAAACCTTTAATTTCCCCAGGACACCCCTAAAAATATGCAGCAGGCACAGGGTGAGACCCTCCATTAACCCCAGGCTTTCTTGAGATTCCCCAGTATCCCTGATGCCATGTGACACCCTGGAAAATGCCTAAAACCTTTCAAAGCAAAACTGTTACCCAGGATCCCATCCAGGGCCATCACCCGCCCCTTAGCAACATTCACAAGACCTTCCTGCCATGAGCCCACAGACCGGGCAGGTCGGGAGCGCAGGGCATTTATTGAACTCACACACTTTCTGTTCTTGCCCCTGTCACATTCTGGGGACGGGGTACCCACGGCTTTCTCTGACACCTCTAGACTCAATTTTACCGAGTCACTTTTTCTGCGCATGCGTAAAAGCTTCAAAACCCCCAATCGGACTCTGGCAGCAGACATGCGCACAAGCAGCAAAGTACCAGTCCCGGAAACTGCCCAGCAACTGTGACGTCACAGAGATACGCACTCCTCCACGAAAGCCAATGGCCAGTCTGGGTTTGAGTGGAAAAGAAAGCTCTCTCTCGGTACTTTATATGGAGCGGGACCAAGGAGTCGCTGAGGGCGGGATATCCAGACCTCTTGAGCTCAGCAGATTGTTCTTTTGATTTCTGTATCCCAGCTCCCTGTTGTGTCCCAGGCTGAGCTCCCAAGCCATTGTCTAGGGAGCCAAAATGTGGCTTCAGACTGCAAGAGCCTCAAACATTGTTGGGAGCAGAGAGACCTCCTCCCGTTTCCCCCTAAAGTGCAGATCTTCCAAAAGGTGGGCTAAGCCTGACCCAGGCTGATGCACTTGGATAGTAGTCTGTATCACACAGGACAGGCTGTGATGGCCAGGATGCCAGGCCCGAGAGGGTACCCAGATGTCGTAGGATGTCCTTGCCAGCCCCACAGCCACTTCCAGGGTCCTGCCCAGCCTCAGGCACTGAGATCCAACTCATGGTGCTGGTAGATCTGCGTGGGGCCCTTGAAGCACGCTGCGAATAGGAAGCGTCTTCCTGCTACCATCACTTGGGCAAAGGCTCGAGGGGCCACCAAGGCCGGGGGTCCCAGTTCCTGTAGTGGCTCCAGGATCCCTTTATCAGGCTCAAGGCGGAAGACTTGGCTGAAGGCAAAGTCGCTGCCCAAGATGGCCAACTGGTCTCTGGCGATGAGCAGTGGCTGGAAGACATGGGAACCTCGAGATGGAAGCTGCTGTAGCAGTCGGAACATGGAGCCATCCCAGCGCATGACCTGTAGGGTGCAGAATCCAGTTAGAGCCTGGGTCATGAGGCACTGAAGGACTTGTAACACGAGCCTGTAGGTCCTCAGTCTCACCGTAGCTCTTTATTTTTGTTTGCTTGTTTATTTATTTATTTTTAGGGAGTCCTGCTGGTACTGATTATCTCAGACTCATGGTTTTTGTGCCACAGCCTTTCACTGTAGCTCTTTATTTTTGTTTGTTTATTTATTTACTTATTTATTTATTTGTTTGTTTGTTTATGGGGAGTCTTGCTGGTACTGACTGACTGTCTCAGACTTATGGTCTTTGTGCCTCAGCCTTTCACGGCAGCTCTTTATTTTTGTTTATTTATTTGTTTGTTTGTTTGTTTGTTTGTTTTGGGGGAGTCTTGCTGGTACTGACCGACTATCTCAGACTCATGGTATTTGTGTCTCAGCCTCCCTGGTACTGAAATGCCAGACCCTTGACTGACACCAACACTGTGCCCAGCAGCTTTCCTAATTTACAGATGATAACATCTGTCTGCTCAGAGCTGATCTTTGTTCTAGACCTTTCTCTTTCCCTCACATGCCACACAGAGTGTCCAGCAAGGGTCTTTTGATCTTACTGTCACGAGTCACGTTTATGCCATCTGTTCTGGCCACACCCTGACGCAGCTTTCACCTTCTCCAGTCTCCTACCTGACCCCTGACTCCCATTCTTATCTCCACTGTTTTCCCCTACAGACCCCTCAAATAACTGCAGGGGGCGGGGGTGTCTGTCCCTGACTGCACCTCATTCTGAAAAGAGAGCCCTGGAGGCAGTGAGCAGGGCCTACCACCAACCATTTCAACCTTGAGGGCGTAGTATCCCAATGGGAAGGGTGTGGTTGGGGTTATCTGTCATCCTGGAATGTTCTAGAGTTACAGAGCCAAGCTTATCGGAGTAGAGTAAGTTCAGCGGTCGTGTGGGCACCTTCCTGTTACACCGGCACAGGGCATGAGATTGAGGCCAGCCTGCACTACATGGTAAGACCCTGGCTGAGTCTCTGCCTCGGGCTGTATTCAGCAGGCAAGCCCTCACGTTAGAACTCGTCAGCTGAGGGCTGCGGCTTAGTGGGGCTTGCTTGCCTAGACTTCATCAGGGATTGGTTGTGGGTGAGGCTCAGTTATGGAAACCACGCCTGGAATTCACCAGTGAGAGGCTGTGCTGAAACGGGGTCCAGCCCCCTGTCAAATGAGGGTCAGCTGTTGTGCCCAGGCTTGGCTTCCACTGCGTGCCCCCAGCCTCACCATGGAGTCCCCAATGTATCGCGTCAGGCACAGGAACACGTCTCCACCGGCCTGAAAGTGTTTCGTGGCATAGACGTCCTCAGCCTCTGGGATGTCTGTGCGCCTCTCAAAGTGGCCACCAAACCAATGGAAGAGCACTGGCCTCTGGGAGGCCGAAGCAAGCAGCAGATGCGGTCGGCCATCCAGCTCCAGGGCCTCGGCGTCGGTGTCGCGGTGCCAGGCATGCAGGCTCTGACGTGGGTAGAAGCCGGGCCCATCGCGGCACAGCAGTGTGGTGCTACCAGCTTTGGAGGCGTCAGCCACCACGAAGCAGGGCTGCCCATCCAACCACAGGAGCTCTGCATCATTGGGTCGCAGCAGCCTTTGAGGGGCTAGGACCTGTATTGGGGCCAGACGCAGGTCGGGGCTAGACCGAGACCACAGCTGTGAGCCTCCCCACAGGCGGGCAGCCAGGATGAAGAGGTGTGGGCCCAGCACCAGAGGTTTGCAGGACACCACGGAGGGCGCTGTAGGGAGAGTGTGACAGTCAGGCTCAGGGGCAGTCTGGGGACAGGAGAGAAGGGGCCAGGACAGGAGGGGAGCTCACCGGACACCTCTTCCTCAGGCCGGAAGCGCTGCAGACTGTAGTCCCAGACCAGGATCAAGCAGCGGCCAGCGAAGGGCTGTGCCAGGATCACGTGAGGTTCCCCCTGATAGGAGAAGGACTCCACGCTCAGTGCCGACTCCCCAACAGTCTGGAGCCAGGACAGTTCTAGAGGCAGCAAGAGAGTCAGAGGTGCCTGGGGGTGGGCTGGGGACCCCAGTTTCTGAGCCTTCTTAGCACATCTTTGAAATGAGAATTCATAGTGTTCACCACATAGGAACCTATGGAATGTAACCTTTTTGTCTATAGATATCTCAGGAACACGAACATCTTTCTTTTCAAAGCTGTGTGGCATCACCAAATAGTCCATTGGAAACTGTCTTAGACAGATGTTGTGGGATGACATGCTTATGATCACAGCCTAGGGGAAGCTGAGGCAGGAGGATTTCTGGTTACTGGTTAGCCTGGGCTACATAGCCTGATCAAAAACACAAAACAAATCAAACAGCATGTTTAGTTACTCAATGAACTTTACAACAGCATTCCTATGAGCTACATCCATTCTCCCCAGACAGACCGTCAACCCAGCTCCTCAGGAGAGTGAGCCATGACAACTGAAAGTTCAAGGCCTGTCTGGGATACAGGAATTCAGGATAGTCTCAGCAACTTAATAGCAGACCCTATCTCAAAACAAAAAAAGTAGAAAGAGGGCTTAGGATGTATGTAGATCAGTGGTAGAGCCCCTGCCTAGAATCCCCCAGTGAGGGGCTGGGGTGTGGCTCAGTGGTAGAGCCCCTGGCTAGAATCCCCCAGTGAGGGGCTGGGGTGTGGCTCAGTGGTAGAGCCCCTGCCTAGAATCCCCCAATGAGGGGCTGGGGTGTGGCTCAGTGGTAGAGCCCCTGCCTAGAATCCCCCAATGAGGGCCTGGGGTGTGGCTCGGTAGTGGAATGCTTGCCTAACATTTGGAAGGCTCTGAGTTTAGTCCCTAGTAACACACACACACACACACACCACTTTTTTCATAAAGCAGGGAGATGACCGTCAGGCAGCCCAGACAGAATGTTTCAGCACCCTTACTAACACACTCCCCAGATATCATGATCAAGTTCACAACAGACAAGAAGTGTGATATTCACTTCATTGTGTGAACATGACTTGTCCTGGACCTGGCCTCCTTCGCCTCCTTTTTGCCACATCCAAAAGCACATGGAGGTGTCACAACCTGGCATGAACCATAAAATCAAGGGCAGCGACTAGGGGCTACTCCCCCTCCCCCCGCCGCCGCCCCATGCAGAAGACAGGTCATCTGCTCCCATTTGTGTTTATGCGTGGGATGCATGACCCGTGTGTGGAGGTCAGAGGGCAAGGGTGAGAGCTGCCTCTCTCCTTCCATCCTATGGGTTCTGGGGATTGAAGCCCAGTCATCAGACTTGGTGGCAAGTGCCCTTAGCCACTGAGCCATCTCACCAGTCAGGGAGTTCTTTAATCCACTCTCCAGGTGGTCAGAAGAGACCCAGGCTGTGTGTCACCCTATATACCGGCCCTGTTCCTAGGTGGCAGGGTTGACACAGGAGGCTACAAGCGGGGACATCCACACAAACTGAATCTCATTTTGTTTTTGAGCTAGGACTGCACCATGTAGCCTACACTGCTCTCAAGTTCACAACTCTCCAGCCTCGGCTGTCCCAGTGCCGGGATTGCATGTACTACCATGCCCTGCAGAATCTTCTTAAAAATGTCCTTTTAATCAGCCCTTTGTGGGCTGGGGAGATGGCTCAGTGAGTAAGGGCACCTGCCACCAGGTCTGATGGAGCTGAATTCGGTCCCAGAATTCATAGGTACAAGGAGAGAATCGGTTCCCACTTGTTCTCTGACCTCTGCACATGCGCCATGGTACCCATGCAGCCACCTTCCCCCACACCCATATTTTAAAATGTAAATGAAGCCAGGCGGTGGTGGCGCACGCCTTTAATCCCAGCACTCGGGAGGCAGAGCCAGGAGGATCTTTGTGAGTTCGAGGCCAGCCTGGTCTATAGAGCAAGATCCAGTACAGGCACCAAAACTACACAGAGAAACCCTGTCTTGGAAAAACAAAAACAAAAACAAGGCCTTAAACAAAACCCACACTACCTGGTGTTTGCACCCTTCCTTGGCTTTCCTGGTCCTAGCTCTGGGCTTCCTCAGGTGCTAATGACTTCTCGAGTCCTGACCTCACTCCTACCCCAGGCTCTGCCTGTGCCTTCCAGCTCTGTCGTGGCCCCCACCTCCCTCCCACCCCCACCCCCACCCCGCCTGTGCCTCCTTGTTTTTGAGGGATCCTCCTGAACTCTTTGGGGTCGCCTGACTTCTCAACTGTAGCCTCAGAAAGGGAGGGACCCGGGGCCGGCCAGCCGAGCCACTGCTGTCTCCTGCATGACCCAGCACTCAGGAAAACGTCCCGGTATTCTCTATATATTTGTGGAAAAGCTAAAAGAAGACAAGCCCCAGGGAGGAGGGAGTACCCGCAGCTCCCAGTACAAAATGGGTGCAAAGGAGGGGTATTTAAGTGTCGTATTAACAATACCAGTGAATCCTTACAAAAGCCTCTTGTAAGCCCGGCATAGTGGCGCACGCCTGTCATGGCTTTGGGAGGCTGAGACCAGAGGATTGCTACAAGTCTGAAGCTAGCTTGGGCTACATAGTAAGACTTTGTCTCAGAAAACAAAACAAAAATAGAAACAAACAAGGGCTGGAGAGATGGCTCCGGGTTAGCAGCGTTTGCTGTTCTTGCAGAGAACTGGAGTCCCCGTTCCCAGCACCCATGTAGGACCGTTGACAACTGCCTAGAACTCCAATTCCAGGGGATCCAACATCTGCACTCGGAATGCACATACCCATACACCGACATACACACATACATAAAACAACAACAACAATAAGCCTCTGCCAGGACTGGCCTCGAGAGCTGTGCAGAGACCAAGTGTGATTCATGCAACCCCAGCACACCGAAGGTGGAAGAGGCAGGAGGGTCACAAGTTCAATGCCAGCCTTGCTTGGGAATTGAGAGCCTGTTAAAAAGTAAAGAAAAATGCTGCCCAGTCTTTACTCCTCACAGCGATCTGAGATCACTGTTTACACCCCGCTTTACAAATGAGGAAATGAGGCTCAGGGAGGCTATCTCCCCACCCCTGTGGCTTCCCCCCCCCACTTGATTTCCTCTCTTCTTCTGAGGCCCTGTTGCCCCTCCCACTGCCGAGGAGTTGGGGAGGGGGCAGGAAGCCGTCACCTGTGGCTCTGCACTTGAACTTCTTAGGGTCAAGATGGTTGAGTTGCATTCGGGCAAGGGCAGAGGGGCCTGCACAGGCCCCCAGGCCCACACTGGCATTCACCGTAGGCATCCACTGCAGCAGCCACAGTACTCGGCAGTCACACTGGAACGGGTTCCCACGGAGGTCCCTGGGGCAAGAAGCCACGAAGAAGCTGGGACCCAGTTTCTGTGGCTTAGAGGCCGAGTCACCTTCCCAGGTGAGGGTCTAGGGTGGCATCCTCAGACGACAGGAAAGTATAAACCAAGCATACTCATGCATTAGCCCAAGGAGGCCCAGATCTCCCTCCCTATTAGCATTCCCAAGCCCCACCCTCAGCCCCCCTGAGCCCGAGCTCACACATGAGTCAGAGTCTCCAGGTCTCGGAACAGGAATCTGGGTAGGGCCTCGAGGTGGTTGTTGGCCAGGCTTCTGATAGAGCGGGAGAGGAAAGAGTGTCAGCTGTGGCCAGGAGATGCCATGGCCTTGAGGGATGGGTCGGGTGCCTATGGTGGAGGACTGGGCTGTGGAAATACACACAGGTGTGTGAGTGAGCGGAGTCCTCTCAGGGCGTTCTTGGAGATGGAGCCAATCTTGTTGTCCTCAATGAAGCTGTGGGGAGAGGGTGGAGTGAGGGCGAGGCCCACAGTGCGGGGGAAACTGGCCCTAGGAAGTCACAGGAATGGCTTCTTTCTCCTCTCTCACCTTGAATGACCACAAGGAAACTGGTCTTCACCAGGGCCGCTCTCACAGCAGCCAAGGTCTTGGCTCTATGGTCATTGTCAAGCTTACCGTAAGTGCAACCACCATCACACCGCCACCACCCTGGCACCGTGGCACCGACATGTGTGCCTCTGTCATCACCACTGAGCTCAGTGACCAATAATTAACCCCAGCACTATGCGCTCATCCCCATCCTCTTTCAACACCCATTGCCAAACCCCACACCAATGACACACATAGGGTCACCAACATCACACTTTCATGGCCAGAACCAACACTGCCACCACTGTAACAAACCTCGGCTGGTGCCAACAGCATCACCATCACCACCAACATTCACACCATCCACTACCAGCACAGTATTTTCATGAATACCAACAACTTCGTCATCATTGGCAAACCCAGAGCCAACAACACCATCAAAACTAACAACAGGGCCGGGGCATGGCTCAGCAGGTAAAGGCAGTTGCCACCATGCCTGATAACTCCAGTTTTTGATCCCCAGAACCCATGTGGTGGAAGAAGAGAATCTGCTCCCACAAATGTGGGCCATGGCACATACATTGTCACCCTCTCCAATAAATGCAACATTTTGTTTGTTTGTTTTTTCGAGACAGGGTTTCTCTGTGTAGCTTTGCACCTTTCCTGGAGCTCACTTGGTAGCCCAGGCTGGCCTCGAACTCACAAAGATCCGCCTGCCTCTGCCTCCCGAGTGCTGGGATTAAAGACGTGCGCCACCACCGCCCAGCTAAATGCAACATTTTTAAAAAAACATGACACCTGGTCTGAGGTGTGCCTCAGTGATAGAGTACTTGCCTAGAATATTCCATGGAAGGCTGGGCATATGGTGTGGTTCAGTGGTAGAGCCTCTGCCTAGAATCCTCCAGTGAGGAGCTGGGATGTGGCTCAGTGGTAGAACCCCTGCCTAGAATCCCTCAGTGAGGGGCTGAAGTGTGGCTAAGTGGTAGAGCCCCTGCCTAGAATCCCCCAGTGAGGAGTTTGGAACTACTTTAGGAAAGTAGCATGTCCAAGACCCCAGTTTCCAAAACAAACAATCGAATAGGAAAGAGCCCCCAAAACACAAAACTAGAAAACCTCCACCAACATTCTACCCATATCCATGACCAACATCCACAGACACCATAAGCACATACCCCTACATTGATAATCCACAAACAGCAGCCCCCCACACCTTATAGATATCCCCAATAACACCAACAATATTGTGGCAGCCATTTTGGTTAGCAACCCTCATACTCCATCAGCAGGCAGGGTGGTGGTGGCACACGCCTTTAATCCCAGCACTTGGGAGGCAGAGCCAGGCAGATCTCTGAGTTCAAGGCCAGGCTGGTCTACAGAGCGAGATCCAGGACAGGAACCAAAACTACACAGAGAAACCCTGTCTCGAAACAAACAAACAAACAAACAAACAAACAAACACTCCATCAGCAATAATATAATCATCATCGAAAGAGAGGTAAGGCCACATGGCAGAATGTACGTTAAAAGAAATGGGTTACTTTAAGTTGCAAGAGCTAGTTAGTAATAAGCCTGAGCTATCGGCCAATCATCTATAATTCCTATTAAGTCTCTGTGTTGGTTATTTGAAACTGGTGGGCAGGAACAAGGACACCCCTACACACCACCCTCCACAGCAGCATCACCAGGCCACCAGCAGCACGCAGCCCTGTCATACAGCCAACCCCTCCAGCAACCTGGCACCCCCACATTGGCACGGCACCCGCACTGTCACATGGTCACTGCATAGCTCCAAGTGGTTTCCGGGTAATTTTAAATGTTTCCTGCTCCTAACCTCTTTGTACACCCTTTCCTGGAATCTCCCTGAATCAGGACAACTGAATATGGCTATCTAGGCCTTTTGCTGACTCTTGATTTCCAGGGCTGGGACTGAAACCCGGGGTCTCACACATGCTAAGCAAGTACCTACTCCCAAGATGTACCCCTAGTCTTTTATTTTCTCTTATTTTAATTATTTCTTATTATGAGACAGGGTCTCACTGAGTTGCTCAGGCTAGCCTTGAATCCATTCTGTAGCCCAAGCAGGCCTTGAGTTAGCCATGCTCCTGCCTCAGCCTCCTGAACAGCTGGGATTACAGGCCTGAGCCACCAGGCCCAGCTTCCTCTGTGAATCTGAAGTACACAGAGGTGAGATTCACTTCTGATCAGTAGCTCCTGAGCTGTCCACACTGCAGCCTTCCTCCTAGGTACCTGCCACTGGCCAGATGCCCCCTTCCCCAGACCACCTCCCTTTGTCCTCTTCCACTGGGGGTCACAGAGAGGCTCGGCCGCCCCTCCAGACCCACCTTTCCCCAGCAGGGCTGTACTCACAGGTACCGCAGGTAGGACAGGCCAATGAAGGCATCGTCCTCGATCACGGAGAAGGTATTGGATGTGAAGAGCCTGGCAAGGGGGCAAGACAGATGCTTTCAGAGTTGTAGACTGGTACGTATGGCTGTCCTCTTAGCCCCCATCCAACCCAAAGGCCCACGTGCAAGCGTAGGCATAGGTGAGCGGACACGGATGCTTCCATAGATATACACAAAGTACACAAGTCCTCACAGGTGTCCAAACGCCCCCCCATGCATGTACATGTGCACACACACACACACACACACACACACACACGCACACACACGCACACACACATGCACACATACACACACACACACACACACACACGCACACACACGCACACACACATGCACACATACACACACACACACATTCATGCACACGCACACACACATTCATGCACACACACGTGCAGGAACACTCATTTTCTTGAGCAGAGGGTCGTGGGCCCAGCCAGGCCGTACTCACAGCAAGTGCAGTGATGGTATCTTCATGAAGCTGCCAGCCTTCAGCTGGGAGACCCCCATCTTGATGAGGGAGCTGGGGACATGGGCAGAAATCAGTGAGCAGAAACCCATTCCAGTTTTCCTCTCTCAAATCAGAGCCCTTGGCTGCTCTGGAGGCCCTGACCTTCCATGTTGAGCCCGGGGGTCCCTCCTACTGCCCTCCATCCCTGCCCTCTGCCCTCCACACATGTACAAGGTCCCTGGCAGCCCTCAGCCCCTGGATACTGCACCCCCAGTGTCCCCATTGATTCTCCCTCCCCTTTGGGACACCCCCAGTGTCCCCATTGATTCTCCCTGCCCTTTGGGACACCCCCAGTCGGCACCTTTCCAAATCTCAGCAGCCCTCTTTCAGACATGCCAGAATTCTGTGGTGTGCAAGATTCTGATAGAGACCCCAGCTCCCCACCCCACGCCCTGGAGGCCCAGGTCTCCCCCCTCCCTTTAGGCCCACACAGGGCTGGCACTCACAGTGACAGGAGCGTGGCGGAGAAGCTCTCGGGCAGCTCAGAGGAGCCCTCACACAGGGTGCTGTCCTTGGAACAGGAGCAGCGTGGGGGACACTTGGCCTTGGGGGGACTCCAGGCCACTCCTGTCCCAGCCCCGGCCAACAGCAACAATAGAATGCCTGCCCCTCCCATGCCCCTGGCCCTGCCCAGGCCCCCACTCCCCCTACCCTGCAGACCCTGACCACTACATCTTTGTGGGATGCCCCTCCATCCTGCTGCTGGCCACGCTGTCCTGTGGCTGGTCGCCTTCTTGCTCTCTCTCAGCCGGTCCCTCTCTCCCTGTATCTGGAGTGTGGGATTGTCTGTCGGTCTCTCTCCCGATCTTTCTATTATTCTGTTTCCTGCCCCTGCAACCTCATGTCTGTTTCTGTCTTTGTCTCTCTGCCTCTGGTTTGGTCTGTAGATCTCTGGTGTGTGTGTGTGTGTGTGTGTGTGTGTCTGTCTGTCTGTCTGTCTGTCTGTCTGTCTGTCCGTCCAGGTCCTTCTGCCTGGTGTCTGTAACTCTCACCTCCCTGGCCCGTTTCAAGCTTCCAGTACTTTCTCTGTGTCCTCCCACACTCTCGTCCCACTTGCTGTGGCCTGGGATGTGCCCAGCAGAAGGGTAGGAAGGAGCCGGTCAGAGGCCATAGGAAGAAAAGGCCCAAGGAAGGGACTGAATGGCCTTTGAGGGGGCGGGGCTGCCAAGGGCTTGAGCCACCCTAGGCACTCCCAACCAACCCCCTCATCAGAGTTCCCACTCAACCCCAGTTGGGGAGAGTGGGAAGGATGTCCCCAGGGTGGAGACCAGATGGCTTTCAGACTGCAGATGGGAGGGGCTAGGAAGAGGAGTCACTGGGGGATGGGGGGAAGCCTAGCTGGTCCCTCCTGCCCCTTCTCTTAGCGGGTGTGGTCCACCCTGTCACCAAGGCACCACTAGGCCAGTACCGGTCCAGCTGCTCCCCCTTGTGGTCACTCGTGGCAGAACTGCTGCCCTGCCCCAAAGCCAGAGCTCCCTCCAGGTGCCTGTAATTAACACTATGAAAGCCGGGGATCCAAGACTGGATACAAGAACTAACAGTGATGATCCCGCCTCTCTCTTCCACGTCAAATTAATCGAGCTTTGTCCTAAAACTTCACTACCAGCCCCTAATCTTCCCATGAAGTTCAGGCCAGTGTCATTTTCATAACTAATTTGAAGAAAGGTCAGGGGATCAGGGTGGCCGGCTCTGGTGGAGGCAGAGCCAGGATCCAAACCCAGGAAGCCCGCTGCAGGGCCAGTCTGTATTATTCTCCATCCTGTCTTTGGAAGCTGGAATTTACGGTCATGTGCACAACTGTGTGTTTTCATCTGAACTAAATAAAGCTCTTGGAAACTCAGACAGATCCTCTCCATTAAATGAGAAAAATTCATAAATCACACACAACCCAACCTAAGTCCTGATCCCTCCTACGCCCCTCAAGCTATGTGCCAGTCTTTTATGTTTGCTTGCTTGTTTTGAGACTGGCCTGGGATTCATTCTGCAGTCCAGGCTGCCCTCAAACACAAGACTCCCCTGGCGTAGCCTCCCAAGTGCTGGGATGACAGACGGGCGCCGCCACACTCAACTGTGTGCCAGGTTTTACATGTGTTAGCTCACTGACGTCACAGCGACTCTGTGAGCTGGGGGATTGCTGTTCCTGCTTTACAATCCCTGCTCCAAAAAATGGGGAAACCGAGGCATGAGGCTCTTAAATGATTAGCTTCACGGGGCCAGTTGGTTCTAGCTTAGTAGGAACAACCTTTGTTGTCTGGGGTCAGAAGGCTGAGGAACACGTGGTCTCTTGACACTGGAGGACAGGAGCCCAACAGATCCTGTGTTGCCTCAGTCAAGTTACTCAACCTCTGTTCCTCGGTGTCCTCGTTTGTCAATGGGATCATTCCTGCTGTCCATGCCCAGACTGAGGAGAGGACTCGGTGAACTAACCAAATAGCTCCCCTCTTTGGGGTTCAGTCAGGCTTGAGGGGCAATCAAGTTATGTGAGACTGCCACATAACTCAGGCTGGCCTTGAACTTTCTGTATAGCCTAGGATGGCCCTGATCTCCCAACCTCTGGCCTCCACTTCTGGGAATAAACGTGTGTGATCACTCCCAGGTTACTTGGTGCTGAGCACTGAGCCCAGGACTCCATGAATGCTAAGTAAGCACTCTGCTAACTGAGCCACATCCCCAGCCCTACATAGGAATACGCTGATAAAGGTTCAGAGAGGTGATAACACTTGTAATTCCCAAACTCAGAAGGTGGAGGCAGGAGGATCGAAGGCTGGAGACTAGTCTAGGCTCCACAGTGAGTTTGAGGCCAGCTTGAGGGTGCAGAATAAGAGCCTGTCTCAAAACAAACAAACAAACAAACACAGAACAATTCAAAAGCTTCCTGCTAAGGACGCCCAGGGGCCAGTGACAGGCCTGGAGCATTCCAGCAGGTGCTCACTCCCGTTCAACAGGAGACAGATGACTTAATACAGTGAAGCAGGCATAACTTTGTAAACACAAACATTTACTGTGCACCAGCCTTGCAGGAAATGCACCAGTTTTCACTGCTTTGCATGGGCTGTTCTAGATAACCACACCACCGCCCTCTGTTGGGGGAATACTGCTATTCTTTCCATTTTACAGAAGGAACAACTGAGCTCCAAACAGACTGTCACCAGCCTGCATCACCCAAAGAGAAAGGACTGAGCTGCTCCACCCTGGGGCGGTGAGCACTTCAGAGCCATTCTGTAAGCAAAGGAAGCTGGGCAGGCTGGGCAGGCTGGTGGCAGCCCCCTCCACTCCTGGTGCTGTGTAAACAGCAAGGCTATCTTCAACAGGGATGCTGGAACAGCATGGGTGAAGGCTCTGGGGCCACAAGGATATCTGAGGCTAAGCTTGTGTCCGCGACAGGGCTAAACTCCTGTCTGTAGAGCACAGCGTCCGGGCTGCTGTTGGCTGGGGACATTTCTACCCTCAGCCGACAGGGAGACTTAAGGAAAATCAGTGATCTAGACCTCAGTTTACCAGTCTCTAAAACGGAGGTGACAAGAAAATACTAAGTTTGTGGACCTCGGAGCCTGGCCAGGAGTTGCAGATAGAGCATTAGTGGTTTTTCCCTTATGTAGCCCAGGACAGTCGAGGGACAGTGAGGTCTCAAGAGCTGCCCAAGGTCACACAAGGAGTCTTGAACCCATGCCTGCCCTCCTTGTGGTGTGGGAATTGGAGGGAGTACTGGGCGTGAGTCTGTCTTTGATGTGTTCCTATGGGCTGTGTGTGATAGTGTGTAACGTGTGTAAGAGCAGACCGGCACAGCAATGTCTTTTTTATGAAAAGGGATGTGTGTCTCACTCTCTATGTAGCTCACTCTGCAAGTCAGGCTGACCTTGAACTCCCAATCCTCCTGCCTGAGACCCATTCAGTGGTTATATCCTGACTGTATCTCTGCACAGAAACGTGTGTGTGTGTTTGTGTGTGTGTGTGTGTGTGTGTGTGTGTGTGTGTGTTACTCCTGGTGAATCTGAGTCAGCAACACACAACATCCATGCAAAATCAAAGCACCACTCATTTAAAATAAAAAAACTAGTTACCAAAGGCTGGCAGAACACTAGGTCAGAGGTCAGTGACCTCGTAAGCACTTAGGCTGTGTGACCTTAGGCCCCAGCTGGGCCAATTCCCAGGAATCCTAGCAGAAAACATTCTCTGACCCTGGTCTAGAAGCAGGCTTGCGTTCATGCACACGAGCGTGTGCGCATGTACACACACACACACACACACACACACACACACACACACACACACGCCTGTGTCACCTCACAGGCCAGTCCACATGCTGCTCCTGGGGCTGTGCTGAGAGAGTTAATCTAGCGGCCAGGGCGGCCTGGGCTGGGGGCCGCCCCCTGGCCCCCCTCCAGCCTGGGCTCTAGTTTCAGTTGCTTGTTGGGGAGGGCAAGAGTGGGGTAGGGCCAGGAGGGGAGCCTGCGGGGGTGGAGCGTCCAGTTCTGGGCCAGGGGGTCCAAAGTGCTTAGCTCCCCGGGTGCACAGCTGGACATTTGGGGGTCTTCTGTCAGCGGGGACAGCGTGAATGGGGTGAGCGTCCCCCAGCCCTGCCTCCAGGCCTCTCTGCTCCCCTAGCTGGGAGGCCTATTTTGGGAACAAGAGTGGCCAGCCTGTGGCTTCTCAGGCAGGCCTGACCCAAGAGGGAGGAGAGTGTGGGGACGGTTTGTACAGGGGCGGAGCAGTGACTCCTCCCTGTTTCAGTGGCTGCTGTGTGAGACCCCTGGCCGGGGGGAGGCTTGTGTACTCATTTGTACAGGTCTGTTTCTGTCACAGAAGGCCCGGAGGAGTATGTGCTTATGTCCACACCCTAGGTTCCTCTGATCAGCAGTTTGGGAAGAGGGTGTTGTCTGTCCCCATTCTAGCCACAGCCGTTGTGTGTGTGTGTGTGTGTGTGTGTGTGTGTGTGTGTCCGTCCATGTATAAGTGTGTCTGTGTTCGCATGTGTGTCCCTGAACCAAACAACTGGCTTCTCTCAGGCGCACCAGCATGGGCCTCTTGTCATGCGCTTGTCTAATGTTGTCTTGTTATGAAAGATGTCACCGGGGGAGGCCAAAAGGAGGGGTGTTTCCCCCTTTTCTCACAGCTTCCAGGAAAGGATGCAGGGTAGCCTGTGGGGATGTGGCTCCTGGCTGAGCCTCACCCCAGTAGTGTTATACAGGACCCCCCGAGTCGTTGGGAGAGGGGGGGCTGTTGCCATGGTGGCCTGTGTGCAGCGAATTCCTCCAGGGTGAAGTGGGAGATATTTATACCCAGGGTCAGGGAGAGAGCGGGCAGGCAGCCGGGGGCAGGAGAGCGGGACTGTCCGGGTGCAGAGCGGCCACTGCTGAGGTGTGTCGGGCAGGTGGGGCTGGGCGTGTCCTTCTGTCTGTCTCAGCATTTCCACCTGTGTCCAGAGGCAGCTTGCTTCCCTCACAAGGGTAAGTTTCGGGACTCGGGGACCAGATGTTGATGGGAGTGGCCCGTGGGAGGCCCCCCGAGGCCTGTATGTGTGTCTCCCCACCCCGCCTTGTTCTTGTGTATGCTGCGGAGTCTCCAGATTCCCGTTATGGAGTTGTTTTGGGGACGTGGTTCCTGGGAAGCAGGGGAGCCCCTGTTTCTCAGGCAACTAAGTTGAATGGCTTACACTCCCTCCTTAAGTCCTTAGGCTGTCCTTGACTTAACCCCGTGGGTTCAGGCCCTTTCTAGGCGGGGAGGAGAGCAGGGGAGAGGACATTCCCTGACCCTGGCTGACTCCCTAGGGCAATGGCATCTCCCGGCCACATCCTGGCTCTCTGCGTGTGTTTCCTCACGGCCAGTGCAGGTGAGTCCAAGGAGATGCCTTCCATCTCAGCCCTGTGGGCGCCAGAGGGAGGAGAAGGCCCCCCAGAAAACCAAGTGGGAGACACCAAAGTAGAGAATCCACGCTAGAGGAAAGCAGGCATCGCCACGCAGGCTCTGGTCACGGCTGGCATTTGGGGGAGAGAGGAAGATGCCCGAGTTAGGCAGAAGTGGGGTGGATAGAAGCTGGGTCCCTGGCTGATGGAAACATGAACAACCTGTAAGATATCAGGATGCTGGGTCACCACAGGAGGTTGCTAGAACACAGAATAGTCTGGCAGCCTGTCTATGGTCCTGTAGCACCCAAACTCCCAGTGCGAGAAGGTAGGTAGAGCTCCCAAAGGGTCCTCTTATGGTTCTCCCTGTCGCCAAGAGATACTCAAATGTTCATTTTTATTTTTCTTTCTAGAAGGTCCACAGGAACCCGATCCATTTACCTACGGTGAGGGGAACTGCTATGGGGTTTGGAGAGAAGGCCTGTGTGTTTTCTCTCTCTCTCTCTCTCTCTCTCTCTCTCTCTCTCTCTCTCTCTCTCTCTCTCTCTCTCTCT